TGTAAATAAAAAAACCCATGAAGCCAAATGTGCACGGCTGACATTTGTGCTACACAATAAAATCAAGCTGTGCAATGAGAAGGATAACGTCCATAACTGGCACTCTGCCTTCTAAGGGCACCTTGCTGGGAAATTTGGCAAAGCTCCCGATTGATACTAGAGCCCATTTTTGGTAACATAGAAAGCTGGGTATGGTACATGTTTCTGACATTTGGGGGGGGGTTTGTACATTTTTCTGACATTTGGGGGGGGGGGGGTTGGTAGATTAAAAGAGTGGCTATAGAAATTCTCTGAAGCACATTGTCTGGCTGGATTGTAAATTTACACTAGAAAGTAATGTGTCCAGGGACATTAAGTAACCCATATTCTAAGATTGCTTCCTAATACTGCCAAAAAAGAATACAGCTCCTTGTCATCTCTCGTCTCCTCTCTGGCTTCTCTGAATCCACATCTGGACCCTCTCCCACGCTTATCTCAAGGAGAAAGAGCAGACAGGCATTTGAAAAAGACCAGCTTTCTCTGAAGTGAGTTTAGACCTCAAAATCACATGGGCAGTTTCTGAAATACCAACCTTACCTGCCGCTCCTGCAGCATTTTCTGATGTGAACTAGACTTAAAACTCAACAGCAGCTTCCTGTCTAATCGATGCTGAGATGAGGGAAGAGGCCACACAGCAATTGTCATTGGGAGTGACAAGTAGAGGTTTCCTTTCAGGTTAGGCATGGTCAATATGTTTATTCAAGTAGAAAATAGGTAGATTAAGTGGTTGTGTTTGCCTGCTGCTAAGAGAACCTCACACAAAGGTTACTTATTTTCTGGTGCGAAGGTTGATGGCAACTTTCTTCTATGTGAGCTGCTGCGTCTGATTAGCCTCACTGCATTTCACAAGGGTTTCCTGACTTCTCCTTCACCTTCTGATCTGCGGCATCTCAGCTCTCAAGCTGCTGCTTTTCTTATGCTCAGTCTCTGCCATTTGTCAGCTGTATTCCCCCTTGTCCAGCCGCCTGCCTGGTTTGTCACTACCATCCCTTAGCATAGAGAGAAGACAAAACATGATGATAAAGGAGGAGGTTATGATTCATTCTGAAGCTTCTGGGAATGGAGACACGGCATTATATCTCTGTGACAAACTGTCCTGAAAACATCAGGATGTCTCTATACTCTGACACTGGGCTATGCAGTTGCAGAAAGTAAGAGCAGCCTGAACAGAGATACCTTTTTTTTGATATAACTTGGATAGAGGGATTTTAGACTCGAATGCACTGTTCTCCACATAAGCCCATCACTGTCATCTGAGAGTTGTGCTTAGCACAAATTTCTGAGCAACTACTTAAAATTGGAAGAGAAGATTGCATAGCAAGTGCACACCCGGCCTGGTTCACGAGCTGGTTGTCATCAGAACCCTGCTCCTGGCCAGAGGAAGGTTGTTTAATCTCTATTTTAAATATTTATTGGAAAGCTCCTCCTTGCTGCTGTCTTTGATCTATTGTCCTGTCTGGAAAAAATAATGGATGATTTGCTGTTGTCAAGAATAGGGGACGAATCTAGCTGCCCAGACTCAATTCTGAATGCATACAGGCTGCTTCTCTTGGAATTACCTCTCTCCGAGTTAGCTTGTTCTGAAGTTGATCCAACTATCTGTGAGCCAAGTGCAGTGGCAGGTTTGCAAGAAGATGAGGAAGCACTGTGTGCTTGGAGATTTTCTGTCTCTCGTTCCCAAGTCTGTCTTAAAAATTGCTCTTGCTACTGTCTGCCACACTCTTTTCCCAAGAGCTTATCTTTGAGAACAAATAATCTTTTGCTTTTTTAAGTCTTTCTACTGAAATTCCATGTTGAATTTGCATGTTTAATTGCCTTTCACCACTTCTTTTCTAAACTAGGTATTGTGATCCCCGGTATGTGGCATACCTGGTAAGCAGGGTATCTGGTACCTTTAACGGCAGTTGCCTTGGGAGCAGTCTGAGAAATAGAAGGAAGGAGAAGGCAAAAAGCAGCTGGTAAATATCCAGTCAAAGCACGAGAAGGGAAGCAGAGAGAAAATGGAGCAGAGGTGGGGGGAGGAGGATTTACTGATGCCAGTGGAAAAGACTCCCTTTTATTATCTTTATTGCAGGAGAAGCTAAGAGGTATCACATGAGCAAAGACGCAACTGCAAAAGGCAAAACAGCCTGTTCTAATTCCCAAGGCAGTGCTTGTGCCTCAGCACTGTGTCTGCTCTGTTTGGCCCGTGCCTTTTTCCAGTGACTGAGTTTGTCATAGCTCTCCGTATACCAGGAAGAATGGTCTAGCTGGAGAAGAGAGGGAATGTCTCTGAGAACTTTTTCTCAAGAACATTTTCTAGAAAGCCGCCTATGTTTGGTATGGTGCTAAAGGATGCGGATGTTAGATCCTCAGTCCAATTCTCAAAAGAAAAAAAGTTAGCCTTAGACTACTGTGCGTAGATTTCTTTAAGCCTTGGAAATGTCATTACTGTTCAATGCGCTGTTCTTTCGTACAACTTCCCAGTACAACAGCATGGCCATAGGACTGAGGTGAAACAGTTGTTTATACACAGTATGGTGTTCAAGGCATAGCTTGACTCGTGTGTGCCTGAGAACTGTTCTCCAGTCTTCCTTCCGGAGCAGTTGCCAGAGTAGCAGCTCCAGTTGTTTTCAATCCCAGCTCATGGCAAATACTAGGAAAAAAAAAAAAAGTTAGCCTTAGACTACTTGCGTAGATTTCTTTAAGCCTTGGAAATGTCATTACTGTTCAATGCGCTGTTCTTTCGTACAACTTCCCAATACAACAGCATGGCCATAGGACTGAGGTGAAACAGTTGTTTATACACAGTATGGTGTTCAAGGCATAGCTTGACTCGTGTGTGCCTGAGAACTGTTCTCCAGTCTTCCTTCCGGAGCAGTTGCCAGAGTAGCAGCTCCAGTTGTTTTCAATCCCAGCTCATGGCAAATACTAGGATGTTGCTTTTCCATGTTCATAGCCTTTTCTGCGTTGTCTTTGTACTGTAAATAAACCAGGCCCAGAGCTGCAAAGAACTGGGCCAACTGTAGCTGAGAATGTCCCTTGTTTCATCCCACATATGCTGCTCTCCCATTCTTTCTCTTGTTCTGGAATTAGAGCCAGTCATAGAATCATAGAATAGTTTGGGTTGGAAGGGACCTCTAAAGGTCATCTAGTCCAACCCCCCTGCCGTGGGCAGGGACATCTTCAGCTAGATCAGGTTGCTCAGAGCCCCGTCCAGCCTGACCTTGAACGTTTCCAGGGATGGGGCATCCACCACCTCCCGGGACAACCTGGGCCAGTGCTTCACCACCCTCAGCGTAAAACATTTCTGACCACACAGCAATGCCATCATGAGGTCATGCTGTGCAGGTACCTTTCATGTTCCTCTTCTACCTCTCTCTTTTTTCCTAGCTCTTTCTGAGAATTTGAATCTGTTTCTTTCAAATGTTAGCTTTCCTTTTCCTTTCACTTAGCAAGTCCCTTCATTAACAGCTCCCTCTTCCAGCAGCTATGCCTGTTACCTCTTTAAGCTGTGTCTTTTCCCCACCCCTTCTTATGCCTTTTATCTCTTAATTACTGTTGATGATCAGATGTTGCTTTGCTCTTTGCCTTTCGCCAAAGTACCCATTCCATTCAGATCCATTTTCCAAATCTCTTTGCAAAGGGGGGAGCTTTTCCATCACTGATTACACAGCGTGGTGCCGCCCCATGCCCCAGAGCTAAATCCACACATTCAGTGACACAGAAAGTAATTGCCTATCAGAAAAGCCAATACGCCGCTACCTGCTATAGAAAGTGGGAGATGTTGTCAGGGTAACAGGCCTCTCGCATGTCTGGCCAGGTGTAATCATAGCGCAGCATATGGAAAAATCTGTTTCTTTCTCACAAGTGGAAGTAGCTCCTTCTGTTTTGGATGTAGCTGTTACGTAGTTTGTTTGCGTGAGATGTTGGTATCCGTTCTTATAAATGAGTGACATGTTTGAGGAAAATCATCTGGGGTATGAATTGTTAAAAAATGAAAACTGCCTTAAAATTGTGCTGCCTTATGGCTGTCATTCCAGTGGCGGCATTTTCAAGTAGATGTTGACGAAATGTGTGTAAGAAATGATCGCGAGCCTGACTTACACACGTTCAGTGGGTTTATTTAAAATCCATATCTAAAAAGTAGCAAGGTGTGGAAAAACAGATACGCTGTCATTAACAATAGGAATGGGCAGAAATAGTTGTGTTGAAATACAAAAAAATGGTAGTGCCTGTGTTTTAATTAAAAGTTAATTAGAAAGTGGAACGGTCCATTCTATTTGAGGATAAAGACAGGTGTTTCCAAATCGGTTCTTGCTCCCTATTGGAACGGAAAGAATAGATCAACATTTATAACGAAGTAAAAATGTTCAGTGTAAAAACAACAAAGCATTGCTAGAATGTTGAATAATCTCAGTGGGTTACATATGATTAAAGTGTAATTTAAAACAGTAACTAGGACCTATAGTAGATACAAACATGTTGTGATAACATAAACTTTAAAATTACATTGATGCAAATGATAGAACCAAAGAAATTGTCTCAGGTTCATGGGAATGAAATGAGAAACTGGGGAGGATTTGCTTTGACAGTTTCCCACAGAAAACTTTGTTGAAACCAGTGCACTCCTACAAAATGTTTTTGCTTTTTGACAATATTTTACTTTCTGGAAGAGAAACTGCTTCTTGAAAACTACCTCCTGACACTAATACTCATATCAGAATACAGTAGACAGCACTTTTGAGCTAGGCAGTCTAAAGGTGGGCACTGAGATGTGCATTCAGTGATCTAAAAGCAGTTCTGTGCAGTTCCCGTCCTTGCCCTCCATAGGAATTGTGGATGAAGAACAGTCCTTACCTTCCATTTTTGCCCAGGCGCCCAGAACTACATATCAGACTGCATATGCACAGACGCATTTTGGCTCTCACATCTAGAGCAGTGTTGGGGAGCTTAGAGTGTCACTTTGAAGACTTTCTGTTAGATGAGCCAGGAGGATGCACAGGAAGGGAATGTGGAAAGATCACAATCCCAGTCTAGGAATGAGCTGGGTTCACAGCAAATGGTGCTTTGTTTCCAGCTCTGAGCATCCAGTTGTTACCAGAATGAGGTATTTCACCTCTGCTGGTGATGGGCAGCTAGCAGTGGATGTGACGTGCTCTGGTGCCCTGTTCCTGTGCTCAATAGCAGTGGTGCTGCCGGGCACAGGAGGGGATTGCTTCTGCTGGGTTTCTGGGCAGGTCTCAGCTGCCGTTCTGTGTCCTAAGAACTGTGCTGCTGATTGTGTTTTAGGAGCAGATCCCTATGTGCTTATCAAGTGTGAGAACCAAAACAGGCGCTCCCCTGTGCAACACGATACGACCAGTGCCATCTTCGACACACAAGTGGTTTTCTACAGAAAGAACATCAACAGTCCTATCATTGTCCAGGTGAGATAAGCCATGCAGGGTGGGCTGCTCAAGGAGGGTAGGGGAGCACAACAGCATCGCTGGGCTTGACATGTGCTAACTCTTCCTCCATGTGACTGATACCCAGGATAGAAGTGTGAGAACCTCTGCTCCCCCTGAACAGCCTGGAGCTATTGAGCTGTTCTACTGATTCTCTAGCCTAGGTCTCTTCCATAAAACAGCAACTGATGACACTTAGGGATTAGAAGGCATATTTCATTCCAAGGCTTTGAAGGAATTTACAGAATTACCTTTTGCCTCATTTGGCATCTGACGAAACAGAGACAAAGAAAAGCCAAGTGTTGTCCAGAGTCAGTGTTTGCAATAAAACCAAAGCTAAGGCTTTTTAGAAGTTTGTTACCTTGAATTCTAGTCCTGTGGGAACTAGACCACACTGTTTACCTCAGCACTAGCTGGAGAAACAGAGCTTGGTATTTAGATGAGGCAATCCAGGAAAACTTTGGGAGGGTGGAATGGCATTTCAGTTTGATACACGCAGTTGTTTAGCATCAGACACATATTAAGGACTATGTCTTCTTCATCAGTGTAGGGAGATCTTACTATGAACCTGTGAATCAATTCACTGTGGCATATAAGTGCCAGAAATTGAAATAGCTTTATAGCACTGTGTTGCAAGAAGAGATACATTTCTGACTTTTCACTGCCTAATGCAGTACTGGTGCATAGTACTCCTGTGCCACAGTACTCCTCTGAACTAACAGGTATGTTCTACAAATATTATAACTAGAAGGAGGATGATAGCAGTGTTATCCCCCAAACCACAGACTGTAGTTATGGATTAGAGGGAACTGATATAATAGCTGATGGCACATGGTCTGTGTTCTTGGCATGTGCAGGATTGCGTAATCCTTAGAAAAGATTTGATTTACACGTGGGACCTCACCCCATCTCTCTACAGTATGCAGCTCAAACACTTTGACTTTGCCAGGATAACTGAACGTTAGATGCTAATGAACTTCACAGACCAAACAAAGACTGGCATGTGAGATTGGCGGCAAACCCCACCATTAACAGCATTTCAGTTGCTGCTTGCTATATGCCCAACCCCACCCTGAGTAGTGACAAAGGACGTGTCCAAGGACTCCAAAACTACTGCAGTCCCTTGCTCTAGCGGTGTGGACCTGGCTCTAACACAGCCAGAGGAAAAGCACTGAAGACGTTGCAGAGGTGAGCACAAGCAGGCAGGGTGGCACAGACTGGCTGATTGCATGTAGGTTTTTACTGCTGATGAGCTCAAACAGGCAATTTTTAGTCCTCTTCTAGGCAGGCTGTGACCTAGAAAGCAAAAAGCTGCATTTAGCTCCTTATTTGCATAGTGTATGTAAATGAGCATGCAAATCCAGAATCTCCCACATGCTTTCTAAGCAATTAGATAAATTTAGATGTACGCCCCCTCCTCGCTGCTTTTTCAAGGGGTTAATGGGGGTGACCCTCCTCCAGCACAACCCTTACAGGTGGAGTGTGAGAGAAGCACTGCTTCAGCTGGCTTTATTTCTGTTCCCTTGTCTCTAGGTCTGGAACAGCAACATCCTGTGTGACCAGTTCCTCGGACAGGCAGTGCTGGCAGCTTCACCCAGTGACCCCAGAGAACAGCAGACTCTGCAGCTCCGAGGGAGAGGCAGGCGAGAAGCAGCCGAGATGCCAGGTCACATCACCGTCAAGGTTTTTTCCAGCGATGACCTCGTGGAGCTATGAATACCAAAGCCCCGCAGAGCCAGACAGAGCTGTCACCTCGCAGCAGGGGGGCTTGTCTGTGCTTTCTGTGCGAATGACTCGGGAGCAAAGGTTGCACGTAATCATAATCGCTTTAAAAGGAAAAAGCCCTCTAACTCTCCACATTATCATGGATAACAGGGAGAGAGGCTTTTAAAGAGGGAAAAAATATGTATTTATACATATATATGTTCATGATACAGCAAATACAGTAGAAGAGGGGCCAAACTAAACGTTAGCAGATAAGCTCATTAGGATGTGACCATCTTCCCCAGCAGCATCTTTCAGGAGGTCTCGGCACACAAGCTGGAAGCACATGTGACTCTTCTCACAGGTTCTCAGCACATCGTCATCGGTTCCCAGCAGTGGGACTGGATGCAGGCAGGAACGGCTGCATCTCCATGGTCACGTACCAGCAGGCTGGTGGGGTGGCAAGCACAAGGTGTATTTGCGTGGCTCAGTCCTTGTTCACGGCCAGGCTGTATTTGGGAGGGGGATTTTTTTAATCTTTGATTGGAATTTTTTTTGGCATATAAAATTCTTGATGAATTTCATTGTTACTGCTGTAGATCAGATGTTTCTGTTCCTTGGCGAAAATGTCATTACTCAAGGAGTTCAGTCATAGGTCATAGCCTTAAGACCAGGCGTGCTAGGGCAACACTGAAACGGAAGGGCAGGTCTTGCAGTGCCTATTTGAACACCACAGCAAATAAGAGCTTTGGCCGCACAAAGGCTCTCAGATTGGCTTTCTTATTCTTCTATTCTCCACCTCAAGCTGATGACTCATGAGTTGATTATCTCTGGCCAAGAGAAGGGCACCTCACAACTCAGCTGTGGCTTTGCTCAGAGGACAAATTCAGTAATGGGAGCCTCCTTGCTCAGGAGGCTTTGTTTAATCCACATGATGCTAAAAATGGAATAACACTCCTTTTGGTTCATTAGATGTGATGGGTAGCGCCAGACTGAAAGTGGACAAAATTAGCTCATGGCAAGGATGGGTTTGTAAAACAAAGATGCTGTGCCCTGGCAGGTATCAGGTTTCACTCTCGAAATTTTGCATCGGTTTATTGCTGACAGAGCTGACGTCTTTGATGACATTTAACTTGGGTATAATGGAGGACAGGTATTGTTTCATATTTCCTTCAAAGCAGGGTTCCAGTACAAACTTTCTTTTAACTTTTAGACTGCATATAGCCCAACGGCAGGGCTTCCTCATAGCAGACATGTAGATGTCTGCTAGACGAAGGTCCATCCAGGAGGTTGCCTAGGGTGAGGCAGTCAGCCCCACGCATTATGACTGCCTCTGCCAAGAAAAAAAGGAGGGTGATTGTCATAGGCGATTCCCTTCTGAGGGGAACAGAGGGCCCTATATGCCGACCGGATCCGTCCCACAGGGAAGTCTGCTGCCTCCCTGGGGCCCGGGTCAGAGACATTACTAGGAAACTCCCTGGTCTGGTACGGCCTTCCGACTACTACCCGCTGTTGGTTATACGGGCTGGCAGTGATGAGGTTGCAGAGAGAAGTCCAGAAGCGATCAAAAGGGACTTCAGGGCACTGGGGTGACTGGTTGAAGGATCAGGAGCACAGGTAGTGTTTTCCTCAATCCCTACAGTGGCAGGGAAGGATACTGAAAGGAAC